CGTTAAAAGCAGCTAAGCAGAGAAGTGAAGCTACAAGCTAAGCTAACAGGTCGACCTTGGGAATAAACCTCTGTCTTGTTGAACTCCAAAATTCACAGTTGAAATCCGTGCCATCCATCCATCCATTATCTTTTACCCGCTTATTCCTTTTTGGGTCACGGGGGTCGCTGGTGCCCATGTCCAGCAATCACTGTGCGAGGGGCGGGGTACACCCTGGACGGGTCGCAAGTCCATCACAGGGCCACATAGAGACAAACGAGACAAACAACCATTCACTCTCCCACTCACACCTAGGGACAATTTAGAGTTACCAATCAGCCTAACATGCATGTTTTTGGTCTGTGGGAGGAAACCGGAGTACCCGGAGAAAACCCACGCATGCACGGAGAGAACATGCAAACTCCACCAAGAAAGGCCCCTGGACCGGGGTTTGAACCAGGGACCTGCTCACTGAGAGGCAGCAGCTCTACCAGTTGCGCCACCGTGCTGCTGAAATCCGTGCCTTTATGTAAAAAAGTTGTTTTTCTCTGTAAAAAGAAGCTGAGAACTTGTTTACTGATTTTTTTAAGCTTTGTGTGAAAAATGCTATGCTAAAGAGCTCAAATCACCGGGTGTCTGCCATGTCAGCCCATATCATGTCAAGGGCCCTCCCTCCCATTTTCCTTAAAGAGACACGCTGCTCAACTATCCATCCTTTGGTTCAAACAGTCTTATACTGCCATCAGGCAGTCAAAAAAGGTACTACACTCCAATCAAATTAACGTTTCTTCTAAAATTTGACAATTAATTGTTAAATTTCAAACAATATTATCGTGTATCGCTATAATTTCTGAGACAATTAATCTCCCAGCAAAATTTGTTATTGTGACAGGCCTACATGAGGGAGTTTTTCCTTTCCACTGTCACCCTCATCCTTGCTCAAGATGAGAGTTCTGCGATGAAGTTAAACTCAAAGCAGTCTGCTCCTCAGATAAATAACGTTAACTTTTTATTTTTATATGAATGTTTCTGTTCGGTGCCCTGAGATGACCTCTGTTGTGACTTGGCGCTACATAAATAAACTGAATTGAATTGAAATAGTTGTTTCAGCTCAGAAATGGAATCTGTTCATTATTACTAAAGTAAGATTTCAACTCCTCAATAGTCTGTTGAGTGTGATGCTCCATATTGTTTCAGTATAAGACTGTTTCAGATCTGGATTATAAGCAGGTCATTGAGTCTGTGTCTTTCAGCTGTGCTGTTAGGGCTGTAAAGGCTCCCACATACTCAGGCGTACTTCACTCCACAGAGGTCCGCGCATATATGATTAGACTCAACGCAGACTCAAAGTAGACGCCCGCAGGGCATGTCCGCGCAAAGATCAATTTTTACGTATACGTACTTGGTGTCGCACAATAAACTGCATGGCGACGGACTATTTTGTATGTGACACCAATGTATTAAATTCCCCTTCTTCATCCCTGATCTGGTTTCTGATCTGAGCCTTTTCTTTTGTTTGTCGGCCAAGAGGCAAGTGATCTCTTCCTCCTCGTCCATTGACGCCATGACTGAAATGGTGAGAAATGAAGGAATTTGTCACAAGAGAATTAAAATCAGGCCCAGCGTGGCTGCGGGAGAGTCAGGAGATTTCTAGGTGGGCTGGTCTGCTGTGTGGGCTGCAGGGCCAGCGCTCCCTGTTTTTTTTTTAGAACTTTTTATTAACAACATATAAACACAGAACACCGCTGCTCCTGGGCTGCCAACTGCCTCTACCCAGGGTTGCTGGTAGCTCTCGTTTTTTTGTTGGTTTTTTTTGCGACCTGTCAATCAATTCAGTAGACGTGTCAGCAAATGATCAATCGGCGAACTCAATTTGTCCCAAAGGTAAACGCCTCTTGCCTGCGGAGCTGGGCTGCAGCTCATCAAAGTGTACGCTTGAGTATAAAGTCTCAACCATCTGCAGACAGTGCGCACAGTGTCCGCATGGCTCATGGAGTGCACACAGTACGCCCGAGTATGTGGGAACCTTAAGTAGTGAAAAAAATTAATTCCTTTCTTTACTCACATAACCACAGTTTTTTCTGCAAAGAAGTCAGCAGAAAACCAAAACTAACGTCACCTCTGCATTAAGTAACCAAAAACATGCACTCAGTGCCATCACAGCTGCTGAATTTTGGATCCTTAGTTGATAACAGCCTTTCTCATCTTTGCAATGTAGAACATAGTGCACATTTTCTGTGTAACAGGACTCGTTCACTGTCTTTCTGAGATGACGTCTTTCAAAAATAACTCTGAGCAAAGGTGTTTTTGTTTTCTTCCATGTTCAGTTACATTTTTGGATTCAGTAAAAATGTTTAGTGACTAAATAAGAGGGCTATGTTCTGACAAAGGAAATTATATTAAAACTATCGGTATCGGTTATTGGCCAAATAAGTTTTAACATATCGGCATATCGGGTATCGGCCAAAAATCCAATATCGTGCATCCCTAGCTTTGATAGAGACAGCTACATGGATGTTATTTATTGAAATGACAGACAATCACTTGCTTTACTTTTGAGTTATCTTGTGTAATCGTTATTCTGTCACAAGTATCGTCCACTTACCTTGTTTGAGGTCGTTGAAGTGGCAGCCTACCTTTTTCCTACCTGAATAAATCTGGCCTTCAGCATGTGTGTTTTTAAGGTAGGTCAACTTGTTCCTGAGGCGATGAGGAGGAAAAATTGCAATGCCTACGGCACAGACCAGGGCAGGATCCCATAAATGTGTCAGTGCTTGTGTTGGAGTGTATATTATCTATGTGAAGGTTTAATTAGAGCGCTGCAAGAGAAGAGGAAGAGAAAAGAGAGAATGTAGAGGTGTGCAAGGTTCAAGAAGCTACTCTAATAGTCTTTGTCAGGCTCCCGCCATGATGTCAAGTTTCATATCGGCTCTCCGCGGCCGCACCACGGAGCAGTAGGGCCTCTGTGGGTGGTGGAGTTGGCTGAAGGTGTGTGTCCACATTTCAAGATGCATGAAAGAACCTGTGGTCCTGCGCTGCAAACTTTCATACGCAAAAGCACAGCAACTGTCGAAACCAACAACAGTGGCAAGAACGCAAATGGCTGCGGAGCTGAGGCAGTGAGTGGCGAGAGGCCACCCTGTGTGCGTTCTTTGGGTCTTTGTTCTCTCTGTCAAAGCCACTCAGACAAACCACTACTTGCTTTAGGCTAGTCCTGTAAGGACAACATGTCACTGCTCTGCTAATTCAGGCCAGAATCGCAGCTTGTACTCGCCAAGCGTAATGATCACGGGGGAATTTCTCATAGTGTCGAGTCACCAGGAAACTTACAGGCAGGATGTGTGGAGCTTTCTGTCTGTAAAATATACCAACTCAAATGCTAATTCTGTTTGTTTACTCTGCTCTGCCTCTGCTAATGTGGAATAACATATAAACATTGAGAAGTCAACATTGTACCTGTGAGAAATGATCAGTACATAAAAAATAAATGACTAGGTATAGCAGAGCAGCGTGTAAATAGAGTTTGTTGACTTTTGTGTATTGCCAATCCTCTGGAGCATCCTTACCCAGCAAAGCTCCTTCCAAACACTCTTCGTCTTCTTGCCTCTCAACGTGTTGACACTAATAGACCCTAGAATGAGAAGTCTGCCATTATGACCAAATGCAATCTCTGTAAAAGAGAAAAAAAGGAAAACCTAATGCATAATTTCTTCCAGGCAAATATTTATAAGAAAGAAAGAAAGCGTTCTACAAGATATTATTTCCAAGAATAAATGGTTATAATCTTGGGTATGAATGTTCGTATGGAGGAAGTATTTAAAGATATGATTTTTCATGGCCTCTTATGGCAGCAAACAACTATTTACTGTGTGAGGATGAAGCAGTGTAATGATGTTTTACCAAAAAGCACAGTCACTCTACTTCCATGTGTTTTATCTGAGCTCTTTTGTTCTGTGTTGTTGCAGTCTGACCTACTACACAGTCATGTTAGTACAGTCAAGAGACGAAATATTATTACAGCATTACACCAATTGTCTCGTTTTTCACTTAAGAAGTGTTCAGTGCTGAAAGTTGCTTCTCCAAGTTAGATCTATCTGTTCGCTGTTTAAAAGGCTCGGGTATGGATTTAAGTTTTATTTTTTTGTTTTTGTTATGAACTTAAATTGTGTTGGTTCAGTGTAACAACCAGCAGGTTTTAGGTATAAATTGTACCTTTTTATTGACAAAATTGAAATAAATCTGTTTAATTTTACCCAAATGGGTAGTATGACAGCTGTTTTATCATGTTACACTGTAAAGATGTCAAAAATTGTAAAAGCTTACACGATTTAGTTTTAAGACTGGGCTTAAGACTTTCCTTTTTGATAAATCCTATAATTAGGGTTGGTTTGTTGTTTAAAGCTTAGACTACTGGAGGACAAATTGACCTCATTTCCTTAAATGAATTGCTAAAACTGAATAGTTTTCATTTGATACTATTTCTATCTTAACGTGATTCTTGACCTGCCATTGTGTATCTGTTCCTACCAAACCCAGCCGGTCGAAGCAGATGGTCGCTTGTCCTGAGCCTGGTTCTGCTAAAGGTTTCTTCCTCATGAGGGAGTTTTTCCTTTCCACTGTCGCCTTCATGCTTGCTCAAGATGAGAGTCTGTGATGAAGTTAAATTCAAAGCAGTCTGCTCCTCAGATAAATAGTGTTAAATTATTATTTTTATATATGAATGTTTCTGTTCAGTGCCCTGAGACGACTTCTGTTGTGACTTGGCGCCATAGAAATAAACTGAATTGATTGAACTGAAGATGAGATAAATGTATATTTTTTATTTTGAGGGGTTATTTCATACATAGTTGACCAAATTAGTGATGCAAACTCAACTGAACCTCTCCAGTTCATGAGGCCACTATGATTATCCCAGGTTGGATACTTTGGTTTAAAACATTTTACTTAGAAATTAAATGCATTTCTATTAAATGTTTTTATTAATTATTTTTGTTGCCTATCTACCATCTTACTTGTTTTAGAGATGATGACGACATCAATGATGTGGCCTCCATGGCAGGGGTAAATCTGAACGAGGAGAGCGCAAGAATACTCGCAACCAACTCGGAGCTAGTGGGAACACAGATCCGCTCGTGTAAAGACGAGGCCTTTCTCCATCCAGGGCTGCTACACAGACGAATTCTGGAAACTGGTGAGATGTCTACACCACTCGCCATGCAGCTTTGATGGTATCCTGTCTAAATTTGTTTTTGCTCACTGGATGTATTTTCTGTATTTACTGTTTCATGACTGAAGACAGTCTTGATTATTTCTCCATCAGTAAGTCAGGCGGAGCATTTGTTTTGCCTTGGTTTAAATTTGGTACACTTGACCCTTTTTAGCATCCTTTATTCAATTCCTCAGTGGCTGCCTGTACTCAGTGGACCTCAGACATGCTCATAAATTCTTAATGAGTTTGTATTTTGAAGGCTGGCTATCAAAATTCTGTCTGGACAAAAAAAAAAGTTTTAAAGGAATGAAATTTAGTCAAGTTTTGGTTCTCTTTTTAATGGCTTTTGACACTCCAAAGACACTTCGTCCTGCAAATAAAGAAGTTGCTTTAAATATTTTTAAGGTTTCAACTGCACACACACACAAAAAAAAAAAGCTAAAATGAACATTACTACTCCAAATAAAACTTTGTCCTGCATGTTTCTATCTTTTTCTTGTGCAAAAGATCAAAAAATACACAGAGTAATTTGTCAGGACGGGGAGCCTAGCACCCTCATCTTGTTTCATCGCAATTAAAGTGTCTTTAGTGTAGCGTGGGGGCCTGCAGGTCACGTTTCGTTACGTGGACTCTTGGCATGGTTGTTATTCCGTCACCTTGGGGTAGAGGGGTTGTTTTAAAATATGAATCTTTCCTCGGGGGTGCACACAGCATGATACAGGGCAGGAGGCTAGGGTGCCCCCTGCTGGGGAAGTGGCACTTGTGCAGCTTTGTTGTGTCAGTGATTGGTCTCTCTCTGCTTGCAGCTGACAGCAGTCCAGGGGAGGCTCCTCCAGCCTGCCAGCTTTACTCAATCAGAGCTCCGCGGCTGCTCCTTTCTGCTGTAAAAACACTAACTTTAACTTCCCTTTATTTACCATTTAGCATTCAGCTTATACTGTATACCTTTCCAGCCAGCCCAAACATCATCTTCAAATGTTATTCTTTTTTTAACTTTGCAAAATTTGGGGTAGATGTTCCAATTCTTCCATTTTAATTCATTTTGAAAATAAATTAAAAGCGGAGATGTTGGCTGTATCTTTCCATCCCATCTCCATGTCTTGTCTCCCCACTTTTTTATTTGTCCCCTGCAAACAAACACAGCACTTTCTATTTCTCTAATACCACTCTCCACCTCCTCTTGTGATTCTTCAGGCTTGTCCTTGAGCTTGAGGTGGGGTGGGTGGGGGGTGGACAGCAAAGCTGCAAAGATGTACTCCCCCCATTTCAGGAATCAGAGCAAAGGCACAGCTGGTGTTCTCTAGAAAGGCTCTTCAAAGTAATGATGGTACTCCCCCTTGCACCTTTAAGGTCTATACACACACTTGTTCTCATGTTGTGGTGCATTAAAGTTTGAGCGGCCTTTCACTTTCTTTATATGGTCTAAAGCCTTTTACACAAGTTAGTTTGTGTAGTAAATGAAACGCAAATTGAAGAATAGGCAATAAATTTTTTTTTTTTTTAATTTAAAAAAGAAATGTTGCAATTCTTTTCCTGGTTAAATTGATTCAATTCAGTTCAGTTTATTTATTTAGTGCCAAGTCACAACAGAAGTTATTTAAGGGCACTGAACAAAAACATTCATAAACATAAAAATTCAATTAGTAACATTATTTATCTAAGGAAGGGTATCCAGCAGATTGCATTGAGTCTTCATTTAGTCTCAGTCTCCCATCCTGGGCTAGCACAAAGGCAACAGTGGAAAGGAAACACTCCCTCATAACAGGAAGAGATCACCAGCAGAACCAGGCTCAGGACAAGCGCCCATCTGCTTCGACCGGCCGGGTTTGAGAGGACAGGAAGGAGAAACAAATAGAATGGCCGGTCCAGAATGAAGGCGAGCAGGTCCCTCTCTAGGAGGAAAGACAAAAAGAAACACGTTAGATTGAAATAATTACAAATACAAACTATTCATTTGTAACTATTCATTTGATGAAATGAATAGCTCCAGTATATCCAGTATTAAGTTTATGTGAAAGTTATTCTTGGAATAACAGCTATTTTTGAATGCTGAATTAGAGCGAGTGTTTAGTGTTTTCTATCAATTCTCTGAAAAGGACCCAAAGAAAATGTGTTGAGGTTCATCATGCTAGAAAGGGTTACAACATCATGCTTGAACAGTTTGTACTCCAAACAGCTGTGAGACAGATTTGATTTGTTAAAGTTGAATTTGACATTTCAAGGATCAATAAAAGCAACACTTGTGCACATGAAGGAGGTAAGAATGTTTTTCTCCTTGTGAGTATTGTTCTGTACGTTCATGTTATGTGCATATGCTTGGTTTTTAGAAATGCAGTTGTTTTAGATTCCACAATGGTAAAAAAAACAAAAAAAAAATGACAACACAACCCTTATTTCTTCTTAGTTCTAGAATTGCGCCGCTCAAGGTGGCTGCATGTTGAAGCAGCTCTGTTACTTTCATTCTGAGATTTTGCTTTTGGAAACTTTAATTCCTCCTTTTCTGGATGTAAATCCCATTTTTTTGGATGATTGTTTCCTCTGGTATCAGATGCTGTGCAGCTGGAAGGATTTTTACTGAAACTTTTTTTGTTTTGGACATTTGTTATGATGCGTAACCATGGCAACAAGGCAGTTTTCTACAACCAGCAGCAGCTGATTAACATCTCAAAAGCTCAAATAATATCTCAGCTACAGCTCCAAATCTCAAATGAGTTGAAAGGATGTTCTGTGGACGCATTCTCATCTACCCGCCAGCTGTGCTCGAGTGCCTGACCACTGAGATCCTGGAACTAGCAGGAAACACGGCTCATGACAGCGGAAGGACAGGATCGTCCCTCAGCACCTACAGCTAGCTGTCCGCAGCGACGAGGAGCTCAGCAGTCTGCTCGGAGGAGTGGCCATCGCTCTGGGAGGAGTTCTGCCTGGAATTTGTGCGGTCCTACAGCCTGAGGGAATCAAGAGGCCAGCCGAGTCTGGGTGGACGGATTGAAAGGCATCTGCAGCCAGTTTCTCAGGATCCACTGTGGGATGGACCTTTACAAGAGATCCTTCCTGCCTACAGTCATCAGCATCTATAACATCTCTTAATGAAATGAGGATAACGAGTTACAACAACAAATAATTTCCCTTTGGGATTAGTAAAGTATTTTTGAATTGAATTGAATTATTGAAGTGAATATCCATCCATACAACATGAATAATGGAGAAATAAAATAAAACTAATCAGATCAGACAATTAGGCAGTATAGCGGCACAGTTGGGTTGCCCTGGTTCAAATCACGGTCCGGGGGCCGTTCTGGGTGGAGTTTGCATGTTCTCTCCATGCATACATGGGATTTCCCCAGATACTCTGATTTCCTCCCACAGACCAAAAACATGCATGTTAGGTTAATTGGTAACTCTAAATTGTCCCTAGGTGTGAGTGAGAGAGTGAATGGTTGTTTGTCTCGTTTGTCTCTATGTGTCCCTGTGATTGACTGGCGACCTGTCCAGGGTGTCCCCCACCTCTCGCACAGTGATTGCTGGACATGGGCACCAGTGACCCCCACGACCCGAAAAAGAAGAAGGGGGGTAAAGATAATGGATGGATGGATCAGACAACTATTATTTGTTTATTTAATTTACCCAAAAATAAACAAACAAGCAAACAAACAAAACCCAGTTATATGACAAGACCCAAGTTTTCAATTCAAAAGTTCAGCCGGACATCAAGAGCGTTTTAACATTTTTATTGTGTTAGAGCTGCTGCTGGGAGTCTGGATCCTCTCATAAGAACAGGTCTGGAGAGAGAACACCATTAGTAGGCTGTAGGTCTCACATAATGTGCATAAGAGCATCCTGTGCTCCAGCATCAGTGTGTGGCATGGAGGCTGCACAGCTGCAGAAAGAAAAGCTTTGCAGAGAGTGGTGAAAGCTGCACAGAAGACTGTTGCAGTCAATCTCCCCACCATCACAGACATCTACACCTCCAGATGCAGGAAGAGGGCCACCTGCATCATGAAGGACTCCACTCATCCAGCACACACACTTTGTGCCCCGCTCCCCTCAGGCAGGAGGTTGAGGAGCATTAAGTGTAGAATCACTAGACTGAGGAACAGCTTCTACCCTGAGGCTGTTAGACTCATGAATCTTTATCCAGGATAATCACGGAGAATCCAGGAAACAGACATGAGGTGTGACAACGAAATCACAAAGGACATCTACGGACAAAAAGTGTTCATTAATCTGGCAGAGACTTGGCGTGGACGGCACTCTAATATAGAGCGGGCAACAGGTGATGAGCATGAACGTGACCGTGGTGGAGAAGTGGGCATGTCAGTGAGCAGATGTCATACATTATCGTTTTTAAATGACCAGACCAAAGTTCTGATTTTGATCTAGTTGGAAAGTTACTGAAAGATCTGAAACAAGAGGATGCTATGAATGGGAACATACATTTACTACATTAATATAATTTTGGATTAAATTAAATTCTTGACAGTAGGACCATAAAATAGTTGTATAAACTGAAATCAGTTTTACTTTCCTGTTGTTCATTTTTATACACAGTTTGTGTTGCCATGGTCTTCAAAGCATACAAATAAATAAATATAAAACAGATTTAAAAAAATTGCTCAGAATTTAACAGAAAAATTCCACTCCTCCAGAGAGAAAGTATGAAACTTTTAAACAGAAAGAAAACATCTAGGAACCCTGTAGGAAAGTTGGTCTGACATTCTTCAAGTTGTTGTACACAACTCAACAACTGAGCCAGGAATGTTTAGCAGCGTTGTTACTCTACACGTTGTATTATTAAAATGAACAGGTAATATGGGGCCTCATGTATCAATGATGCACACACACAAAACGATTGCATGCACTAGGTTCCACGGACACGTCAGGTTGTATCAAAATAAACAGACATAAATGCACACACCTGCTGTGAGAATGCGTTTACCGCAACACAAACTTTTTCAGTTGACAGTATCAAACTACAAAATACC